CCAAATACAATGGCATTAACAGAAACATTATCAAATATTTATTTATTTGTATGGCAAAAGAAAATATGGAAGCAAATTGATCGAAATATAGAATTTTTTGGAAGGTATTTTCTTCTTTTAACATATTTCTTTTTTCAAATTATAAAGTTGTTTAATTCAAATTGAATATTTTTTAGATATAAAGATCAAATATTTTTTACATGGAATAAATCAAGTGCTCTCGAACTTGAAACATTTATAGAAAACATTCGAGAACAACATCAGAATGTACGTTTTCAAAAATTTATTGGTACAAATGTCGAATTTTTAAATGCTTCTATCGAAAATCGACAAAGTCAATTATATACTCGTGTACATTATGATTCGAATATGCCACGTTATACATTACCATATCTCTTGGGTCATTCAAAATCAGCTCATAGTGATTGGTTACGAACAGCTTTAATTCGTGCTGTATGTTACTGTACATCAGTTGATGATTTTCAACAAGAACGAATTGCTCTTGAATTAACTTATCTTATTAATGGTTATTCATTACTATTTGTTGAAACTCATATCAAACATTTTTTCAATTATTTTCATGCTCAAACTATGCGATATTCAAGAAATCAAAATACATATGATAAATTTCGTCAACAATGGTTTAAATTCATTGAACAACGACATGAACTTTCAGAACAACTTGAAAAATTTAATAATAATGGTCGTTTAATTCAATTCAATTATATTTATGATTTTGGTCCTAGATGTCGATTCAATCGAGAATTTTATAAACTTTGGATTCATTATTTTGAAAAACATCCAATTCTATCAGAAGAAAATTCTAAAATTATCCTAACAACTAAACATTTTCATTCATTAAATACATTATTAGCAATAGACAAACCATCATATACTACAATTCTACAATGACAACTTATAGGTTTCAACTACGTTACACTATATTAATTCATCGTTGTTATGACATGAATTTTGTGTTGTTTTTGTATATTTTGAATTGTATACTATTGAATTACTATCATTTCTGTTTCTTTGTTTGTTTTTTTTTGTTCTATAGTTTTGTTTTGTTTTTGAAAAGAAACTTCTCATTTTTTTTTCATTTTCTAGATAAAGTCTATTGAAAACCTATCTTACTTAATTTCATTGTGTATTTCAATATAACATTCAATTTTTTTTTCGGTCTTCAACAAAACAAGTAAGTTATCTATAAAAGATATAGATCAAGCTTAATTTTGGTTTATTTAGAAAACAACAAAATAATCGTCGTCACTCAAAACAAAAATGAATCGAAATGCTCGAAAATATGAATTAAATAAGGCATTAAGTATTTTACCAATATTTAATCCATTAAATGATTATCATATCTATCATATTAATCAATTAACATCTTCTATTCTATTACATGATTTAATTGAACGAGCAAGAAAAACAACTCGATTTACTATTGATACAGAAGATGATTATTATACACACCGACCAGCATTAATTCAAATTGAATTCATACAATATCAATCTATCGTACTATTAATTGAAGTGCATCATTTACCAGAAGTAACATCAGCGATATTTTGGTTAATAAGATCACTTGTGAAAATAATCTTAAATTCATCCAACTGTATATATTCATGGGGTGACGGTGAAAAGGAATTGAATAAATTCATTTCATGTGGACTTTTTTCATTTGACCAACTCCATCAAATAAATAATATGGACATACAAAAACTTTTTAAACAACGGCATGATCAAAAATTGAATCATGAACATACTCATCTTCCATTAGATATTCAGAAAAGATTAGATACATATTCAAAACAATCTATTAAAAGTTTTCATTATATATGGTCACTTCAAATGGCTATAGCTTATGCATGTCATGAATTTCTCGATAAAAGTCGAACTAAAAGTAGATGGAGTCGACATCTTGATATGATAAATCATAACAGTTCGTCTGTAATGAATCTTAAAGAAAAACAAATCATTCAACAAATGATTCAGTATGCTGTTAATGATTGTTTGGCAGTGACTAAATTAGTGATGCTATTAAAATTTGATCGAACATAAATATAAGTAAGTGAAGTTGGAGTAACTGCTATTATCTTAATAACATTTTGTTTTCAAATCTTGTTTAGATAGAACAATACAAAACTATGGAAAAAGATAGTAAACTTTCTTGTCATTTTTGTAGCTAATCATGTACATTTTTGTTTTATTTTTGTATATCAAAACATATTGTTAAAAATCAGTTTTTAAAATAAAGAAACATGTAACTTTTTCATTTACAGAAAGCTTCTAAGAATTTGTCATTTATAATTTTATAAAATAAATTTTCTTTCTCTATTTCTTATAGATTTCATTTGCAAAGAAACAATCATCTCGCTCGAAAACTATGCCTGCTGGATCACAAGAACAATGTCAATTAGTAGTTCCAAATGGTATCGAATATTTAATCATCAAGTTTAAATGAATTTTCGGTTTCTGATTCTCTTTAGATAATTCTACCGTAACATGTAAGAGTGATGATGATGATCAATATAAACAATTCTTAATTGAGGTAAATATTCAAACAAAAGCAAAACACATAATGTCAAATAAATGTATTCGTTTTTGTTTCAGCAATCATCTCAATCATCAAATCATGTTATGACAACAATATCATCGGCAACAAGTGAAAATGAAAATAATAATTATAGTCAACAACTTCGAACAACAGATGTACGAATCAATTTAATTGATTGTATGAAGTGTTATGTTAAAATTCCACGATGTAAGGTAAAGGATGACATGATAGAAAGAAAAGCAATTTCATTGCGTGTTTTCTTCTCGAATTCATCATATTTTAGATCGAACAACAAATATATGATCCTAATGCACATGTTCAAATAAAACTTGATCGTGAAATACAAGAGTATAGAGAAGAACAAGAATTAGCATCACAAACACAAGACAATCAAGCAACATCAGAAACTGTAGGAGAAAAAGAAAAAGAAATAGAAGACGAAAATGATGGCTTCATAGATTATTTAGATGATTATAATCCAATGAATACTTTTATCATTGTTGATTTACCATGGCCACAAGCAGCAGAGTGATACAATAGATGATGATGAATTTCATAACATTTGTACTTATACTTTTCATATACATTCTAATATGATGATAATCATACGCTATAGTGTAGATGTTCAAATTCTAATAACAGTTTTTTTTTCATGTTATTTGTCTTTTTCATTTTGTTTCTTCTACTCTTATACATATACATATATATATATATATCCATTGTATTCTGAAATTCCTATAATTATCTATCTGTTTCCCTTTCTAGATATATTGTTACATGATTGCATACAGACAAAGATATTTTCGACGTATATGATCCTATTCTATTCACTATTGGCAATAGAACTAAACAGAGAAGTAAAACATTTAAACATGAATAAATTTGTAATATGCATACATACTTATGTTTGAATTTTTCAAATAGATATGACCACTAAACAAGATTCTATCATTTCATCTCAATCAGCGACATCAAGTCTCCAAGATACTTCTACGAATGCATCATTTATATCATCGATATGTTGCAATTCAATCACATCAATAAATCTACCTTCTATAATAGGAAGAACAACAGCAGCTATGGTTCCATCATTCGCATTATCGGAAGTTGATTTAGTCATATATGAGAAAGTCAACGACTTGTGGTTAAGGTCATCAGTTAATCGTTGAACTTTAATAACATATATACGATCCAACTAATATATTGTATTGTAAGAAACTTGTAATGTTTTATTGTTATTCTGTTATGTTTATTTTTGCTTGCACTATTACATTAAATTATTGTCATATTTGAAACAGTTATACATAGACATATCTCATTTTTGTTTTGTTTTCTAGATTCAAATCTATCATTTTTTTTTGTTTGCATTATAATTGAATGGCCCAGTTCAACGAGAATTGTCACATTATTCGTAACAACGGTTTATCATAAGATGCTCAAGGTCGTTTTTCCTATCAACTGTGTGAATCATTTCATACACTATAGTTTATTTCATTTTTCATTATTCAAACTATGATATTTGACTATTAAACATTTTGACTCGTATCTCCTTGCAATTAATATTCATTTTTTTTATTACATCTTTTCTTCTTTGAATAAATATTCATCTTGAACCTATTACTGTTTCATTATATCATATATTCTAGATATACACTAACCACCACAATTCTATAAACAACAACCTCAAACAGATATTAGAAATAAACAAGCAATCGATGTAAGTATCCAGTTATGACAACAAATGAAAACAAAGTCTAGACATTGTTTCTATAACTTAAAATTTTTTAAGAACGAACACTATCAATAGTCAAAGTGGTTATAATCCAAATAAACCAATGATTCCAAACAATGAACATGATTCTAATATTGACAAAATGTTATCTAATGCAATCGTAAAAACAGACCAATCATTAGTACAACTTAGTGCAACAAACATGATTACAACTCAAAATGCACCAATATCAAACCATGAACAAAATGATATAGCAACAACAAGAGCAGCAAATGAAGGAAGACAACAACAGCAACGATTACAGCCATGGCAACAGACAGGACATCATCAACCACGACGACAGGCATTGCAACAAGGTCAAGAACAGCAACAACGACAACATCAGCGCCAACTGCAAAGTCATCAGCAAAATCAACAGCAACAGCAACAGCAACAGCGACAGCAACAGCGACGACGACGACGCTATGAACAGTGGCAAGAACGAGTGTTCCAACGACACATGGAACGAGAACATGGAAGAGAACAACGACAATATGCCGACCAATGGCTTCATCCAGATTTATATGATGTACTTATGATGGAAGAAATTCAAGATGCATTACTAGATGCCTATGATTACGAAAAAATGGATGAACCCTACAAATGGGAACAAGAACAAATACATAAATTTGAACAACAAGCTGCTATTGCACAACAAGCTGCTATACAACAACAAGCTGCTAAAGAACAGCAAGCTGCTAGAAGACAACAAGCTG